GTCTTCCATTCATCCCCCTCTTTAATTCTCACTCGGTAGTATGCCTCCCGTAAGTCAAGTTTGGTGAAGATTTTCCCCTTTCCGAGGTGAGATAGCATGTCCTTAATGAGTCGTAGGGGGTAAACGTTTTCCACGCAAATCGCGTTCAAATTTCTATAATCAATTACCAAGCAAAAGGAGCCATCTTTCTTTTCTCGGAACAATACCGGTGCCGCCACCTTTGGTCTGGCTGGTTGGATAAACCCCCATTCTAGATTTTTATCAATGAAGTTTCGCAACTCCCCTAGTTCACGAGGGGTCTTTTGGCTTAGGGAGCTTCACCCAGGGAGTATTTCAATGGTACAGTCCGTAGCTCTGTGGGATTTTTGGCTTAGGGAGATTCACCCAGGGAGTATTTCAATGGTACAGTCCGTAGCTCTGTGGGGAGGTAGCACATCCGAGGCCCTTTCACTAAAAACTTCACGGAGATCCCAATACTTTTTTGGAATCTTCTCTCCTTCAATGCGGCCTACTGCCACTTCTGCTCTTTCGGGTTCTATACCTTCCTCAATGGGGGCTTCTTTCCTTTCTAGCCTCGGTTTTCCAGTACGAATATGCAGGACCCCAGTTCTCCAGTTAATCCGTGGGTTCCATCTACGGAGCCAGGGCAGTCCAAGTATTAGGGGTCGTTCCATGCCAGGGGCCACAATAAATCTGAGGCTTTCTACGTGATCCCCCAATTGCATTTCAATAGGTTCGGTCACAAAGCTGGCCGGGCCCCCTCCTGCAATCGATCCGTCCAACTGACAGAACGCAATGGGCCTTTTTAACATTTTAAGCCTCAGGCCCAATTTCTCCACCACTTTCGAGCTGACTATGCATCTGGTGCACCCAGAGTCTAATAAGGCTAACATCTGCGCATTTTTCCCTGTGGATGGCACCCTTATTTCTATGGGGACGAGCATGGGGTCCTCTGTTTGACTCACCAGATCGTCGGAGTTCGTCCCGCTGTCGTCTGCGGTGGTCGGAGTTCCCAACTAACCCTGGTTTCGGGGAGCGAACTCAACGACTTCTCCTTTCAGGGCGGTATCGCGGCCTTTTGCTGGCGCTTTGTCGGCCTTCTTGGGGCCCGAGCCAGTAGATTTTGGCACTGGCTTGGAGAAACATTCTTCCGCCCGATGGCCTTCCTTTCCACATTTGTAGCAGGTGAAAAGCTTCGATTTGGGTTTGAATTCCGCTCTCCCCGCGGCCGCCTTTGGCACTCCTTTGCGGTAGAAGGAGGATGACGGGTCTCCTGTGCGGCCTGCTCGGAGTCGGCTTCGGCCCAGTTCGATCTCCACATCCTCAGCTACTATGTACCAACTCTGCAAGTCTTCGGGGACCCCCCCCCCCGCCCTCTACAGTCCTTGTATATTTCTTCATTCAGCCCATCTTTGAAACTCTCCAGTAGGGCCGCTTCTGACTACCCTGTCATGTAAGGTGCCAGCTCGCGAAATTCTTGTGTGCATTCTGCCATTGATCTTCGGCCCTGCTGGATGCCCTTCATTCTGAGTCTCACCTTCCGTTCAGCTAGGTGGTCTTCAAACCGCCTCCTAAGAGCCCCCATGAACTGGTGGTAGTTCCTCAGCAAGGGGGAGTTATTATTGTGGAGGACCACCATCCATTCAGCGGCTACTCCCTCTAGGACGTTCGTCACGCATCTCATTCGAGCCGCATCTGATAAGTAGTCCTCCCCCCAGGCCTGCATGTGGTTCCACACTTGGGTCAAGAAAAGCCCCAATGTCTTTGGATTCCCATCATATTTTCCGGTTAGGGGGGAATTTTTGGGTTTTTACGCCTGCGGGGTGGGGCCTGCAAGGCTGGGGGTCCCTGGGCTGCTGCATCCCCCACTTGAGCTCCCGAAGCCTGAGATGTTCCTTCCCCAGCTTCCTCTTCTTCTCCCCCACAGGCTGTCTCTTCTGGATCCCCCCTGGGGCAGTCTCCTCCCTTCTCCATAGGGAACCCATAAGACTCGGCTTTTTCGGCTTTCTTCAACATCACGGAAAAGTTGTAACGCCTGCGCCATCATGAGGCTTTCGTTTTGCTCTTGCAGCCACACTGCCTCTCTCTTGCGGGGTCTGGAGCTGGTTACTCCCTGGGGGGTCCTCCCCAGGTCCGGCAATCTTCCTACTCCTCTCGACCATCTAGCTTCCTCAGGCTCCTCTCTCAGTCGGAGTTTTTCCATCTGCAGCCTTTTTTCTCTGCTTGAAGTGTAGTTATTGTAGAACCAGATGCTCCCATCTGGTCTTCTTCACTCTCCTGGTCCGACATAATTTGTTGTCAGCCCCCTCGGTGGTTATCCGGGATGGCTGGAGATGAATTTCAGTTTATTGTCAGGTGTGCTTCCTTCAAAGTCCAGGAAAGAATGACCCAAACTCCATGTTTTATAGAGGAAGGTACTTTTACTAGAAATGAAGTGAACACAACCACGGCTAAGCTGAAATTAAAGCAATAGGCGCGAAAAGTGCATATAGAATGCATCCCCTCCCACTGTCCATCGTAAATCATCCAATCCAAAGGTCTCCCAGGGTCAGGTGGAAGCACATCTGGCAGCGTCATCAATCAGGAATGCCACGACGGTTACCCGATAGCCACTCCAAGGATTCAGTTTCGTTTCTTCTGAAGCCACGCCCCTCCTCCAGCACGCTTCCCCCCCAAGCTCCCTAGCTCTCCCCCTTCCCAGTTCCTATGGCAGCCAAAGCAGCAAAAGCGGAGGCTGATACCCAGTCTTATTTTGGGGGAAACACGGTAGTTGGTGTCGTATCCCTCTCCCTCTGTGGACAGAGGGCTGTTCAATTTTAACATAGATAGCCTCTTTGATCCCTCTTTCAAATCAGTGATCTTATCTGTCCAGAATGTGGACTTTGCTTCAAAACTCTTCCAAATGAGTGACATTTGTCTTTGAAATGCAGATGGACTGCTGAATCTTGCCCTGGTGGGTTTGTTCTCCTTTGTTGTGCCATGTGTTTGTGAAGTGGTTGTTTTGTTTCTCCAATGTATAGATCTGGAAATGTCTCACTGCATTGTACTGCATATACCACATTGCTCAGTTTGTGTCTGGATGTTTTATCCTGGGGTGGATCTGTTCAGCCTTTATTTCCTACTCCAGGACGCAGACCCCAATATAACTTCAAAGGTGGCAAAATTCTTTGCTGCAGTCGTGGCTGGAAAAAAACTGGGGAAGAGACAGGTAACCCCTATGGCAGAGGATCACTAGTATTGACAGTATAGATTGTACCTGAGGCAGTAGATGGTGTACTGTCGCAAGATCTATTCATATTTGTAAAATATACTCCCCTCCTATGTGTATTTTAATTTGGTCTCTGACCGCAATAAAAGCAATAAAAAACCTTCAGTCCAGTGGTATAGAATTCTGATCATTCCCATTTTGTAATCAAAAGACTTCCTAATTCTTTCTCTCCCCCCACCTGCAGACTGTGCTGCCTCTTACAGACTAATACCTTAGGCTGCAGAACTTCCTCCTGTCTCCCAAAGTCATTTCCACATTCCATTACAGTATTTGACTGCTGTAGAAGACATTAAGTAATCCCTTTTATTCAATCTGTCATTTTATTTCAGTAATTGGCCAGTAGCACAGATCTTCTGAAAAGTCACATTTATCTAGCCAAGTATCAATTTAGCCTAGACACCATAGAAATTGACTAGAATAAAACAAAGTTTTATAAAATATATAGCAATTTTTCTAAAATTATAAGAATTTTGGGAGTAAAAGTGTAAGTCATTATGCAATGTGAATAAGGCAATTAAATTTATTTATTTAGGAAATTTATATGGCCACATACTCACAACTAAGTGACTTACAAGCAATAAAAACACAGCATAGAAAATTTTAAAAAAATAGTAACACACACACACCAGCGACAATGATTATTTAGAATAAAAGAATAGTCAAATTACTGACCTAAACTATATAGTACTTTTAATATTAAAAATCCATAGAAAAATTGTATTTAATATTATAACTAGACAGATATGAGGATATATTGCATAAAGAAGAAGAATACATAAGGCGGAATTAAAATTTAACCTCGAAGTTCAAATCCTATTATAATGACTGTCTGTGGATTACTTGGTGTTCCCTAATTTCATTTTGATAGCAAGCAAACAACAAAATTCTGAGGACCAAGATTTCCACAGTTCAACCTGGAGCTACAGATAATCTCTTTTATTTGTTTTATCTTTATTGATACAATGACTTAATAAAACAAAAATCAGAATCAATTGACTGTAAGGCTATAATATATTGTTATAGAACATTGTCATTAATGGATGGCTCCTTTTGTCCTATAAAGCAGGAGTCCCCAACCCCTGCGCCATGGCCCAAAACTGGCCCTGCCTCTCACATGGAACATCCCCATTCCCCCGCCTCCTTATATAGGCTGCCAAGACAGAAAGGTTGGGACTGCTGCTATAAAGCACACATTTACTTGAATAAAATATTAATGATATAATTATTACAAGAAATCCTTAATTTAGAACCATTCATTTAAAATATGTTCGAAGTTATAACACTGAAAAAAATTGACTTACAAACAGTCCTTGCACTTAGGACTTATGCAGCATCTTAGTCACGTGATCAAAAGTCAAGCACATATGAACAAAGCATTTATTTATGACAGTTGCAGCATCCTGGGATCATGTGATCACCATTTGAGACCTTTGCAGCCAGTTTCTACAAGTCAATGGGAGAAGCTAGATTTGCTATAAATAGAGCTATTTATAACTTTCTATACTTGTTTTAATATATTCTTTAGGCATTAACCATCTCAGCATTTTTCTTTGATTATAATTTTCAAGTGAGAATGTAAAATAACAGCTAGTTACTAATGTGTACAAATTACTATTTTTTAGGGTGGATAGAGGTATTGAAGAACTTATGTAAAGCTGATACTGAATGCAAAAATATACATATATAAATTTTAATTACATTCTTTTCTTTTGCTTCATGACTTTTCTCGAAGGGATCACCCCGAATATCGACTCCATTTGGTACACCACATGGGAAAGAGAAAACACTGTCAAATGATGATATGGAGAATTATTATAAACCTTCAATGCTTGAAGACCCATGGGCAGGCCTAGAACCAGTGTCTGTTACTGATGTTAACCAACTATTCAGCCTTGAACAAGCAACACACTGTGGTAGAAAAGGGAGATATTTCAGCTAAAGAACTTGCAAGTTAAATATGTTTGTGAGATACTGATATGTTTGTGAGAAACTGAAATAGAATTGCCTTTCTTAAGATGATCGTTAAGCAATGATCATACATTTTAATTTCCATACTTTTGTTCTGCTATTTTGACAAGACTTTATACTGAAAGAAAGAAGATACTTTTACACTTCTGGATATACAGAACAGAAATACTAAGAATACATTCTTAGCCATTCTTTAATTAGTTTGACATTTTCAAGGGTCTTCCTGAGCAAATTGTTTAAGATTGTAAGCTTCTTGAGAAAATGTCAAAAGAAGAATTTTAAAATAAAATATATTAATTTGTATTACAAATATTTTACTATTTTTGTTAATCATACTTCAACCTACATTATTAAAATCCTTTGGGTTAGGTTGGGTTTTTTTTTATAGTTGTGGGTAATGAAATACTGAACATGCTCCCAACAAAGCTAACTCACACTGAAATCTATAATCTATACCCTAATAATAGGTATGAAAATATGCTGTAACAAATGTCATAAAATAGGAATATCATGGAATCAGAAGGGAAAAAAGCATAGAAACATGGCATTAATATTAAAAATTCAAGATAGCTGATTAAAACAAATAGCATAAAATATATACAGGTAGATTTTTAATGTTTTCCCAAGAATAGTCTAATCAAATTGTTAATGGAAAGCATTTCCCAGCATTGGAACCACCATCAAAAAAAGGTGATTCCAGTAGACTGCACTTAAACCTCTCCTGGTTGACATATATAAAAGATTTTCTAGTGAGTACAGTAAAAACTGTTCCTTCAAATAGAAATACCCAAAAAGAGATGCATCTGATAATTCTCATGCACTTGCCAGTGCACTTACGTAAGCAATCAAGGACAATACAGGATCAAAATGCACCTCCAAACTAGGTGCAATCCTTTTGGGAAAAATAACCCTATTGAGAACAAGAAAATGTCTATTCTGTTTTGAGACATCCCTACTTATTAGTCCCTTTGACCTGTTAATTTCAACATACTGGTTGAGTCCAATATGCAATCTGGTCCAAATGGGAGTAAAGTCAAGGAGTTTGAAATTGATGAAGAAGAATAGTAATCATGAGTGTCATCATTATAAATGTAGCACTCAACCCTACAATCGCTGGTAACCTTCCAGTGGTTACATATAGTTGCGGAGTTTCATGGCAATACAGGTATTGCTTGACTTAACCACCATTCATTTAGTAACTGTTCAAAGTTATGATCAATTCAGATGCTTGGTAATTGGTTCATATTTATGACAATGGTAGTGTCCCTGGTCATGTAAATGCCCTTTGTAACCTGACAAGCAAAGTCAATGGGGAAGCCGGATTAATTTAACAATTGCAACGATTCACTTAACAACTATGTTTTTTTTTTAAGTTTTTTATTTTTTTAAAAAAAAACACATCCAAACAAACAATTTTCTCTGAACAGAGTATTGACCGAGTCAAAAATTGTACAGCTTATAATATCTCCAAACACAACTTGTATATTTCCATTTCTGCCATAATATTCATTTTATTTCCTTTTTTTGTTTTATTTTCCTCCTGCTTCTTATACAATGTATAAACAATATTACCATTTGCCCTAACCCCTACTGTTACATTATTATCCACTTATTTACTCTTTTTCCTTTTTTGCAGCCTTTTAATTTAAAGACCATCCTTTTCATCCTTAATTCCTAATTTCCTCTTATAGTTTTATATTTTATTCTATGGACCATCATATATCTCCTTCCATATTCAGAATCAATTATAATAATATCAAATCTACACTTTGTCATCTTTTCCATTTGTCTTCCCCTCTTAATGAATACATTCAATTATTCTTATAAACAAAAAACATATTTCTTTAAATTCCTCATTTTTTCATTTTTCCCCCAATACAAAACACTATCTTAATATCTCAGTTATAAATTATTTCAAAAACAGTATATTTCTTTAAATTTGTTTTTTCGCATCTCCTTTTTAAAATACCAAAACATCATCTTAATTTCTTCATAATAAAAAATCCAAACCTCTATATATTTCTTTAAATTTGTTTTTCACAGCTCCTTTTTCAAATACCAAAACCTCTTATAATCAATAATCAAATATTGCATTCACAAATATTAGTCCTAATAGTAATATTGATATTCATACAATTTTAAGTATATAGCATATTTCCTTTCCATTTCTTCCATATATCATCTTATTCAAATAATACAATTACACATGTTAAACGTAATAAAATTCACATATAAGTATCATATTTCCCATGCTCCTTCCCATTAATTCTTCCTTTTAAACATTTTCTCTTGGTTCCCCCTGCAATCCAGCAATTTTCCTCCATCCCATTTTCTTATTTACTTTTTTTATTTTTGTACTTGTTATATTTTTTCTCCTGTTTCTTTTCTCTAATTTTTGAATCTCTTACTCGCCTAGTTTGCCCTGAATTCCCATCTGATTTCTTCCCTTTTTATCTTTTTTATTTCAGCACTGTTAATCCCAGTGTAATCATTTAATTTTTTTGTGCCTAAACTCTTCCCCTTTTTTTCTCCCATTTCTTTCCATCCTCTCTATTTTTGCCACTGTTAATCCCAGTATAATCATTTTCAAAAAAATTTCCAAGCGTTGCCCTTTTCCTTTTCTTCCCTTTGTTTGCTTTCTTTTTCTAACTAATTTTCTCCTAACTCTTTTCTCCATTGTTACTCCCAATGTAATCATTTAATTTTTCATAATCAATATCTTTATCTTCAGTGCTAATTTCTTGCTTCGTCTTCATAGTTTCTTTATTCACTTGGGTATGTTCTAACACAGTTTCTGGTTCATCAGGCTTGAATGGTCCACTCATCGTTTTAATAATTCCCTTTAATTCAAGATTAAATGATGCATCTATCATTTTAATCATTTCAATTATCTCCTGCGACATTTTTTTGTTTCCACGTTGTTTTTGCTTCAGTTTAAAGTTCTGTTATGTTCCACCTTCTTTGGTTGTCAAGTTCAAACAGCTTAAAAAGAAAACAAATCCTCCCTGAAACTTCTCACGGCTTTTTGTAAATCACAATCTCTTTGAAACAAACTTTCCCAGCTTGCAAATTATTTGCTGTAGTTCTTTTTTTCCACCAGTAGGTGTCTCTCTACAACAAAGTAACAAAACATCCAATTTGTGTGTTAAATCCACATTACAAATATTCCCCAATTTCCATCTTCTTCTTAATTATACATTTCCCAAATTCAAAGAGTCCAAATCCAAATCCTATTGAAAAAATTCCTTTACAGGGCTTTTTATTTTAAATTTTCCTTTGTTCTTCCTTCACAATTCACCATTTTTAAAGTTATTTCCAATCTTCTTACGCAACTCTTTTCTTTTGGGTTTTTTCTTACAATCCTTTAATTATCTCACTCTACTTTCAAATTCAAATAACAAGCTCCATTCTGGGATTTGATTTTTTTAGGTTCCACTTCATTCGTCTCCCTCCATTAACAGTCCCCAACGCCAATTAGCTGCTATTTCTTCACTGGGTCTCTTTTTATAGTTTTTAAAAAGTTTATTACCTGTGAGTTGGCAATCACTCACCCAGTATCAGTACTCCGTCCAAATCACCGCTCCTGCACAAAACCTATTCCGGTTGCCCCAGCTTTGTGACAGCAGCCTTGGCCGCTGCCCCCCCCCCCCAGCAGATCAAAGAGTTTCCTCCAACCTCCAAGGAATGTGCCTGTTCCTCTTGGTCTTGGTCTTCCTGCCTCTCCTTCCATATCCCTACAGGACAGATCTGGTCCGAAGACACACACCCCCCCCCCCCAGACCGGTTTGTCAGCCTAGATTTTCACAAGGCTCATCGGAGCCTGCTATTTCCAGACCATCTCGCCGCGACGCGACGCGAATCCCACTTAACAACTATGTTAAGTAAGGTTATAAAGTGGGACAGAACTCAACAACTGTCTTGCTTAGCAACCAAAATTTTCGGCTCACTTGTCGTAAATTAAGGACTAGCTGTACAACAGAATTATGTGGCATACATGCACAAGATGTAAGATGAAAAAGGAATCTCTTCAAGATAGAACTAAACTACAATAGACCTGTGATCTTGCCCCCCAGCTATCTCTTTAGAATGATCTGAGGATGTTATAGCTGACAGTATCAAAAGCGGGTATCAAGGATTATAAGCAAAGACTCTATCCTGTTCCCTCAGTAATGGCAACCAAAGCCTTCTCCATAGGATGACATGGTCTAAAATTGAATAGAACTGTTCTAGAAAATCAGTTTTCCAGAAAATCAATGTAGGAACTGATTATGTCTAATTTAATGAAAAGGACTAGGGGAGACATGATAGCAGTGTTCCAATATGTCAGGGGCTGCCACAAAGAAGAGGGAGTCAAGTTATTCTCCAAAATACCTGAGAGTAGGACAAGAACCAATGGTGGAAACCAATCAAGGAGAGAAGCAACTTAGAACTAAGGAGAAATTTCCTGACAGTTAGAACAATCAATCAGTGGAACAACTTGCCTCCAGAAGTTGTGAATGCTGCAACACTGGAAGTTTTTAAGAAGATGTTGGATAACCATTTGTCTGAAGAAGTGTACAGTTTCCTGCCTAAGCAGGGGGTTGGACTAGAAGACTTCCAAGGTCCCTTCCAACTCTGTTATTCTATTCTATTTTAAAGTTTCATTTGGGAACATTTAGAATCCATCTGCTGCCATTTTTTTAACCATATTGATGAGGAATGATAAATTTATAATTCACTGCAAGGCTAAAGTTGTTTTAACGTGGAGGCAGGGGATAATATATTGATAATTTATAGATTGTTTTTCAACCTTTAACATACTGTATTTTTTGGACTATAAGACGCACTTTTTTGTCTCCCAAAAGGAGATGAAAATGTCTGTACGTCTTACAGACCGAATATTGCCAAAGCCCCATCCATCTGCCGGCCATTTTTATGGCCTCCTCACACCCCATTTCTGGGGCCTTTTTGGGGCCTTTTTTTGGCCTGTTTTCGGAGGTTTCTTCAGCTCGTTTTCAAGGCTTTTTTGGCCCATTTTTTCAAAAAAAAAACCAGCCAAAAAAAGCCTTGGAAATGGGCCAAAAAAGCCTCAAAAATGGGCCAAAAAAAGTATTGAAAATGGGCCAAAGAAACCACAAAAATGGGCTGAAAAAAGGCCCCAAAACAGCCCCAAAAATGGGCAAAAAAGCTTCAAAAATGGGCCAAAAAAGGCTGGAAAAGAGCTGAAAAAACAGCCAAAAAAAGCCTCGAAAATGGACCAAAAAAGCCACAAAAATGGGCCAAAAAAACCCTCTCAAAAATTTAGATGCCTCTTATAGTCAGGTGCGTCTT